GCAAGCCTGCAGTGCATGGCTTAGCAAAGGAGAGGAAGGCAAGAATAGAAAGGAATCCGAGGATGCGGGTCAAGGATAGCAGGTCACAGACAACCAAACAGGAGCAGATTTGCCTTTGTTTACATTGCCAAAGGGGAAACATTAACTTGATGGAAAGGGTAATTAAGCATTTCTTTTTCCATCACGGTCCTGCCTGACTTCATATCCAGCTGTTCTGTTTTACGTTGTGATGAGTCCTCATCGAGTCGCAGGATTAAAGATGGCCAGGGTGTCACTGATGTCACACAGCACCGCTTCCCCGACTATTAACCTTTATTTTATAAATAGCAAAGATCTCAGAGCTAGGACCACCCAACTCAAGGAGGCAGAGACTGAGGGACGGGCGGGAAGGTTACAGAGAAGTGCTGTCTGGGACGCAGCAGACAAGGTGAACAAGTCAGCAGCTGAGCGTGCTCAGGTGTTTTACAGGGGTCACCTGCCGCAGCACCCTCAGTTTCTAGATGCTAAAACTGATCAAGTGGATGGATTTTCCCAGCGTTTGATGCTCGTAGTGGTAAATCTAGACTCGCACCCCCAAGCTAGTGCCCATCGCGTCATGACCGAGTCTCTCATTTGCTTATATTTTCAATAACAACCTGCAGAAGACTATCCCCTCCAGTGCTGGAAGCTGGTTTACGCAGCTGTGCTGTTTGGAATTTGGAATACTTTTTCCAATAGAAACAAAGTTAGTGGCACCTGATGGTCGTTCTCTCAGCCCTGTCCCAAAGATTCTTTGTACCGAGATTCCACAGCTCTGGGACTGATTCTCCGCCTTTTAATGGGGGTTAATGAGAACATAATGAAGACAAATGACTGACCATGGCTCAGTGGGGCCTCCTGCTGCTCAGGGCAGTGTCCTGTCCTATGGACCCAGTTCCTTTTCAGGTAAATGTCGTTCAGCCTGTGTATCCACTTTCACTGGGACCAAGCACAGTTCAGAACGCTGCCCTCAGAATACGCTGGGAATGAATTGCAGTATGTATTTTTCCTAAACATATGAAGGCGTCATCACTGCAAAGCTTCAAGGGGACCCCAACGAGCTGCAGCGACTGGTTCACTGTGAATAATCACACCATTCAGAGGAAAGAAAAACTACTTTATTCAAATGGCTTCACACGCTAAACCAGCTATTCAAATGAACAGACCAGGATCAATGTTTTGCTTGGTTTAATCGAGTCAGTTGACAAGAATCACAGGAAATCCAGGTGCCTGTGTTTCTGGGCAACTTTTGCAGCAAGCTAAGGTGCACATGTGTGGATGTTTACACGTTACAGAGCAAGAGTATTTCATGTGTAGGCATTTACGCATAGCATTTATGTTGTTCAGAACCAGTAGAACTTTTACACCAAAATGACCTCTTGCCCAGACTCTGAATAGTAGTCAGGGGTTGCCTCTCTAACTAGATGGATTTTGTTTACCTCTTGGCTTGAAAATGCCTTCAAAGATAGTTAATCATTCATTCAGTTATTTATAGTCACCCCTGACTTGGGCACAAAGTGGTTTTTGACAACTGGACCATCCTCCTCATTTGTTAAACATCTCTGTATTGTTTTGAGCTGTTTCCTCAAGTCACACCTGCCTGAGGGATTCAGGAATTGCCACCACCAAGGCACTCATCGTGGACGTCTCGTTCTGTAGCTGGCCCCTCAGTAATAGTACTAAAGTCTTTTGTAAGATGGCAGTGTCACTGGTGTTAGAGGATACATTTTTGTAGTTACTTTAAACCCTGTTGGGAGTCACGGATCAGATCCCGAAAAGAATGAGATGGAAACCAGCTCCTCCCAGAAGGATGAACATATGAATATATGCACACACTTGCACATCATTTCAAAAACGTTTGTGGACCCCTGGAGTGTATTTAATGATACTCTAGAGTTAAGAATGTTTGTTCTAAGGGGTTATTTTCAAAAGAGATGGCATTTATTTTGACTTATAGTCTATATATGTTTATTAAAAATTCAGCAGTATCATCATGTATCACCACAGCTTAAATCTATACATGTACTGTCCCGTGTAGACATGTTTAATTGACTGCATTAAACATGACCTCCTTTTTAGAATTCCTATTTTGTGGGGTTTTTAATTTTAATCTATCTTAAATATCCTTTTAAATCCTTTTCAACCTTCTAAATAAGGAGTTTCTTTTTAATGTATGAAAGTATTTCTTTTTATTCTTGTTAATCTTAAAGATAATCTGTCTTTAGAACTTTGGCTTGAATATTCGATTTAATACTTGCATTTGAAAAAAAAAATCTCTAATAGGACATTGACCTTAAAGATTTTGAAAGTCAGGATCGACATATAAATTTAATTCAAATTCTCTGCTATTAAAATAAAATTGACTGAATCTCAGAGTTAGGGTGATCATTTTTATATTTTTTGAGCATTACCAAATGATAATTTTTAGGATTAAATAAAATGTGAACCTAAGGTGATTCAAGAATTTTCTACATACCACTCACTACATTTTTCATGGTGGTTATAGAGACCAGAAATTCCAATAGCCCTTTTAATGGAAACCTATAGGGGAAACAATCTTCCACACCCACCGGCGACTTGTGCATGCTGTCAAGAGCGCACACTTTTGATCTTGCTTCATTGGTACACGTCCAATAAGTGTGTATACGTGGAACCCTTTCTGAAGGAGAGGCACACATACGAAACAAACTGAACTTCTGGCTTTGGCGATGGGTCATGTTGATATGAAATCCTTGTCATCACATAAAGACATGTATTTCTGTGCACACAGAATATAGTCAGACATCACATTTCTAGAGTGCACAGTCTTTCACATATTTTATTTCCAAAATTAAGACACAATCTTAAAATTTATAGTGTGTTACAGTTCATCTGGTCTCACTTTATTCCTAACACTAGACAACGTAATAGTGCCAATCGCAAATGATGGTATCTTGGATTCAGTGAAGAACACTGTATGTATTAGAGCACATAAAATAAGAAGGTGCCTTAGCAATGTTACAGCAACTCCTCAAGGAAATTGAAATTGAAGGGTCATTTAACTTGCCAAAGACACAGATTTTGGTGACACTGGTATGGACCAGTGATTAATTTTTTCAATACTTTCACCCATCTTATGTGACCCAATGGACCATAAACTTTGTGAACTCAGTGTAAATCACTTTTCAGAAGACATTTCAGATGTAATACTTGGTGCCTGAAACATAGTATTTATGTAAGTTAGAAAACATAATGAACTATTGTTAAGCGGAGATGAATACATTTTAACTACGTACAAATTCTTAGATAATCTTAAAATGCTAATGTTGAATGAAATGACTGTTGTACAGGAGTACATATCAAATGGTGCCATTTTCTATAAACGGGTAAAACCAAAACACTTCCAAAAGTAAAATTTAGCCTGATCCATATACTGTCTTTTTAAATCAGTTTATTTTCAGTGTTAATGTGAAAAAATAATTCAAATGATATTTTTTTAATCCACATGCTAGACTCAAAATTAAAAAGCCATGCTTTAATGGGAGCTGGTTTAAAACAATCAGACTTGAGTGAGATAACAGTTTGGGAAATGTGACTATGCTCACTTTTGCTTCCAGATTTGGACTTTGAAACTTACTGTCAGCCTCATAAAGAAATAAGAAGCTGTGCAGATAATTAAACATTTGCCTTGGGGGAATTATTTGCAGTTAATTAAAATCACACACTTTGGGTGTATACTTGCTTCACTGGTTATTAAATTTGAATCATATGTTAACCACCCAGGTTTCTCACTTGTCCATCAAATGTTGCTTGTGGCAAGTTTAAGAAACAAGCTTTCTCATAATATTCCACACCATATTGTCGATAGCTTATCACCTAGTTTGTGGAGGGAGAGAGAAAGGTGGGTAAAAGAAACAAAGAAGGAATGATTTGTTTTAGATTCTGTCTGATTCTGCTCTGTTGGGGAGTTAAAACACAGCTGAGCAAAGTGAACTCAGTAGAGACCCCATTTGTAGGCAACAGAGATGTTGGCCTGCCACCCAGATCTCTCCATGGCCACAGGCATGCAAGACTAGTTCATGGCTTTTGGACGTCTTTGGATCACCGCCCTTGTAACTGTGTGAAAAATACCCACTAGACTGTAACCTCTATGAGGGCAGAAATTTGTTTCCTTTACCACCGACTCTCCAGCATCAAGACCAGTGTCTGGCACAGAGCTGGCCCTTAATAAATATTTGCAGAATGAATGAATGATCTATTTTCTGTCTTCTTGCTGAACCTCCTCACATACTCTTTCCAGTAGTTTTTGAAGCACCTCCAGAGAGTCCTCAGACTCCAACAATGGACTCTTTCTAGAATTGCAGGCATCCCTAGTCACTGGAATCCTTTGAGCCATGTTATTTCCCGTACAGTACATCCTATGACGAGACAAGATGAACTTATGCTGATTCCACGTTTAAACGTACCACACAAGGGAGAGAGTGAACTTACACAGAATAGAAAGCTGGTATTCCCCCTTCGCTACTGCTCCACTGATACAGCTCCTGAGGAAGACGAACTTAATTACCACTGGATTTCAAAGCTCTACAGCTGGCTTTTTCAAGGAATCAAGGCTCCCATGTATGAGCAACTACAGTAATGGAAGCATTAAGAACATTAAAATTATATTCCTTTAATCTTCTCTATTTTGCCTTTGTTACACACCCTTTTGCACAATTCTCCTAAGACTTTCACTGATGCAGAAAGCCTGCTTATATTTTCTTATTTGTTGTAAAAAGGTATTCCAACCAAATCTTTAGCATTTTTACCTCGTATACGTTGTGCAGACATATTATGCAGCACTTTAAGAAAAGCTTATTTATTAATAAAGATATTCAAGTATTTTAATGGTATTTTTTAAGAATAGTAATTTCCCCTCAAACATAGACCTGTTGTGTTAGTTTGTTCTATATATTTCCTATGTAAGAATGCTAACTGGAGGTCTTGCCTGTTTCTTGTGTCAGATTCTGCAAAGGATGACAATACTACAAAAGACTCTGAAGTAACAGATCATTCTGTGTGTAACCAAGATCATCCTGATGGTAAGTTGCGATTTTTTAAAACCCAGATTTTAGTTTTTCTGGAAAAAATGGAATCTGGAATCGTGAACAGCTCAGGGGTTAGGGGTGCCCACCCTCTGCACCATCAAAAATCTGTGACTAACCTTCTAGTTGGACCTCCATATCTGGGATTCCACATCCATGAATTCAACCAACCCAATCAAGCAGTACTGAAGTACATATTTGTGGAAAAAATTCACCTATAAGTGGATTGCACAGTTCAAACCCGTGCTGTTCAAGGGTCAACTGTGTTTTATTAGAGCTAAATACCAGCTAACTAGTAGCTGCCACATTTAGGACCGTTTGCTCTCTGTAGTCCTCATTATGCATCATTTTTGTACCAGGTTAGCTTCATTTATTTTTGTTGCCTGATTAAGCTCTATAGGCACTGGATTCACAACTACTGAAATGAAGACATGGTAGCAATGAGAATAAGTGAGAGACATATAGGGAACAGATCCAGGAGACTAAATCTACATATCCTTGGAATGCTAAGAAGAGAGAGTAGAACAGAAATGAGGCAATCTTTAGAAAAATAACAGAAAAAAAAGTTTTCCTAATGCAAACCAGTTCCTCTACCCCAAACACGAGAGAAGATGTTATAGGCAAAGATGATGAAAACTCAAATGAGAACAGAAACCTACAAAGCCTCATGGAATTTTTGAAGAGCAATAATAATAGTAAAAAAAAAGGCTTTTAAAAAATCTAGGATATTCAAACTCAGGTTACAAGCAAAATCATCAAAATCAGATCAGCCTTAGCCTTCTTCTCTAAATCCTAGGGGAAAAAATGGAGTAACATTTCCAGAGCTCTAAAGGACACAGTGTCTATGTTTAGTGAACTTACTATTCATGCATGAAGTCAAGAGTAATATTTTCTCAGGAATACAAACATTAAGAAAATAAGCCACCCAAGTATCCTTCCTGAACAAAGTAACAAAAGGCTTGTGCAAAAACAACAAGTGCAGAAAGGATAAAAAAATTCAAGACTGACTGAGAAAGGCACAGTTGGAAAGGACCACTTGATAAGAGACTCATTTAAATGTATGAAAATGTTGAAATAATTGTTTCAAAATCAGTGTCAAAATATCTTACTTAAATGCTTGCTTTCAACTTTGAAAATTAAAGTATATTTTTTAAATGAGAAAAAATGAAGGAGATGCTTTTGCCTTCAGCAATGAAAATCTATGTATATGTGTGTGTACATACACACATATACATAAGAGAGAGAGTGAGGCAGGGGTTCGGTACTGTTTAAACATTTCAGAGAGCTAACAGGATAAAGAAGAATTGTCAGGCTAGGTTAAGGGAGAAAATGGATATACAGAGAGAGAATGTGAAACTGTCTTTACCTAGAGTATTTGCTGATTCTGCAAAAGGTATCTTAAGTCCCATTGTTCAAAAGGGCAAAAGGTCCTGGTAAACCCATGTGTTTTGGTTGAAACCCCAGAGATACATGCCCTAGCAGGAAGAATGAACCAGCAGTAGATCAGCCTCCTGAGAGACTGCTGCTCAGCTTCAAATCATCTCAATCCCCAAATTAAATTAAGATCAACCCAGATTGCTAGTCCATCCAGGTACCTGAGAAAAACAAATGTAACATATTTACTAGCCAAAAAAAAAAAAGTACTGTAGGTTTCAAACCATTTACATGAACAATTTGTTAAATATAATGTCCAGCTCACACACACAAAAAAAAAATAGCTAAAAGAAATAAAGAAACAAGGTAACATGAAAAACAGTTACTAGTGGCAACCTGGTTTGGGCTGAAAATATTAATGTTATGAATGCAAAGCATAAAATACAAAGTCTAGAAGGGGATAAAGACAGGATTGAAAATTTTAGCTGAGAAGTAGGAATTCAACACAGAAAAAAAAAGAAGAAAAGAAAAGAAAATCTAGAAATAAAAGATGCCGCACTGAAATGAAGAATTCAGTGAACAGGTTTGTGGTTTATTAAACAGATAAAAGAGAAATTTGTAAACTAGAAGTTAGGTCAGAAGAATATATCCAAAATAAAAACAGAAAAGAAACAAAGAATGGCAAACTAAAGAAAGGGAAAAGTTTGGAGGAGAAATGGCAAAGTCAATCACACATGTAATTGGAATCCCAGACAGAAAGGAGAGAGGGAAATGGGGAGAAGTAATATTTGAAGAAATTGTGGAGAGAAGTTTCCTATAATAAAGAAGGATAACAGGCCACATGTTCCAAAGGTCCTCTGAATTCCAAGCAAAGTTAAGTCCACAGCCAGGCCCATCAATAGGCTGGAAGCCAAAGATAAACAGAACATCCAAAAGCCATTGGACTGACAGCTGACTTTTCAAAATATAAGATGGAAATAAAAAGACAACACAACAGAATAGCTGCCAACCAAGAATTCTAAACCCAGGGAAAATGCATGTTTCAAGAATAAAGGTTAATTAAGAACATTTTGGACCAAAAATAGAAAAGGTCATCACTGAAAAATTCTGGTGCTCTTCAGGCCAGAGGATGCTGATCCCAGATAGACAACCAAAGATGAAGGAAGGAATTAAAAGAAGGTAGATGGCCACTATTGGATAAATGTAAATGAATATTGATGGTGCAAATGAATTAATGACTGTAATAATAATAATGTACTGTGGGAGTTAAGATATACTTAGAATTAAAATATACCACAACAATGGCATTTATTGGGATGAGGTAAATTAAATTTAAGCATGCTAATGTTTTTCTATTGTCATGGAGATTAAAAGTACTAATTAATATTAAGACTTGGTAAGTCTCAGGGATGCCTGAGAGTCAAGAAATGATGTGAGCCCTGCGGTGGTCCCTGCTGACTGTCTGGAGGGACTTTCCTGACCACAGTGCAGAGAGGAGGAACCTAGGCGCAGCCCAGCAGACTCCCTGTGTTGAGGAGTCAGAGCTGAGCATTCTGGAATGCCACAGCATCTCGTGTTCACAGGCAGAGAACTGGAGAGGAAAGAGCTCCACATTGGGAGCACTCGAGATCAAGGAGGGAATCTCTCAGTCTTCAGCGGAGTACTGATCTGTGCATGGATAAGAAGCTGGGTAAAGAACACTAAAGGACTTGAGAGAATGATACCTGGAGCTTCCACAGGGCTAAGAAGAGTGCCTGTTTCCACCAGCCCCACTGGGAAAACTAAAATTTCATAGAGGGCTTTGAAGGATTTTGCCTCAGTGGTGGAGCAAAACTAGCCAATAGACTGAATGCCACCCTTGTCCTCCCCAAGCCAGTGTAAAAACAAGACTTGAAAAGATCAAACTGTTCCTGAATAACTTAGCTGATCCTAGAATGAAACTCAAGAATATTTATAGAAATATAAATATACCTCACATCCAACAGAGTAATCAACAAAATACCAGGCATCAAAAGAAGCACTGGAAGACAAATCTCCACGCAGCTCTCATGTTTCTGCATGTTTTATGAGCAGGGGCCCCAACTGCCTTTGTGTTGGCCCATCTTTTCAAGGATGTTTGTACAGGCATACCTCGGAGATACTGTGGGTTCTGCTCCAGACCACTGCAATAAAGCAAATATCGCAATAAAGCAAGTCACATGAACTTTTCGGTTTCCCAATGCATATAAAAGTTATGTTTACACTATACTGTAGTCTATTAAGTGTGGAATAGCATTATGTCTAAAAAAATGCACATACCGTAATTTTAAAAATATCTTATTGCTAAAAAATGCCACCATCTGAGCCTTTATTGAGTTGTAATCTTTTTGCTGGTGAAGGGTCTTGCTCAACGTTGATGGCTGCTGACCGATCAAGGTGGTGGTTGCTGAAGGCTGGAGTCACTTACTTCTTAAAATAAGACAGCAGTGAAGTCTGCTGCATCAACTGACTCTTCCTTTCACGAATGATTTCTCTGTAGCAGGCAGTGCTGTTTGACAGCATTTTACCCATAGAACATCTTTTAAGATTGGAATCAGTCCTTTCAAAGCTTGCTGCTGCTGTATCAACCAAGTTCATACAATATCCTAAACCCTTTGTGGTCATTTCAACAATCTTCGCAGCATCTTCACTGGAATTAGATTCCATCTCAAGGAACCACTTTCTTTGCTCTCCTCATCTATGAAGGCTTCATCCTGAGGCTGCAGAAATCCAGCCCCATCTTCAGGCTCCATCCACGTCTGATTCGAGTTCTCTTGCTGTTTCCACCACATCTGCAGTGACTTCCTCCACTGAGATCTTCAACTCCTCAGAGTCATCCGTGAATCAACTTCTTCCAGACTCCTGTTAGTGTTGATATTTTGACCTCTTTCCATGAATCACTAATGTTCTTTTTTTGTGTATATATATTTTTATTGAAGTATAGTCAGTTTAAAATGTTGTGTCAATTTCTGGTGTACAGCACGATGCTTCAGTCATACATGAATATACATATATTCATTTTTCATATTCTTTTTCACCATAAGTTACTACAAGATATTGAATATAGATCTCTGTGCTAAATGGCATGAACTTGGGGTTTTTTAAATCTATTTTATATATAGTAGTGAGTATCTGCAAATCTCCAACTCCCAATTTATCCCTTCCCACCTCCAAATCACTGATGTTCTTAATGGCATCTAGAATGTTTAATCCTTTCCAGAAGGTTTTCAATTTGTTTTGTGCAGGTCCATCAGCAGAATCCCTGTCTACAGCAGCCATAGCCTTATGAAATGTATTTCTTGAATAATAATACTTGAAAGCTGAAATGACTTCGCGGCCCAGGGGCTGCAGATCAGATGCTGTGCTAGCAGCATGGAAACAGCACACACCTCCTTGTCCATCTCCATCAGAGCTCCTGGGCGACCAGGTGCTCTGTCAGTGAGCAGTAATACTTTGAATGGAATCTCTTTTTCTGGGCAGTAAGTCTCAAAAGGGGTTTAAAATATTCAGTAAAGCATGTTGTAAACAGATGGGCTGTCACCCAGGCTTTGTTTTCCATTTACAGAGGACAAGCAGAGTAGATGGAGCATAATTCTTAAGGGCTC